TAATTATTTAAACTAACTAAAATGCATTTACTTAAAACCAAGTACAAGAATTCAGGCATGAAGCCTTTTCAGTTATAATTAACTAGCCTAGCTAAGACAACTAGATAAACAGTCCTTTCCATAGGCTGAGGTACCTCCTCATGACAATCCGTTCTAGCAAAGAACCCTTCCTCATCCTTCACTGAATATCTCGTTTCAGAGTCAAATCTAAGAGTTTCTCTTACTAAATACAAGGTGAACAATTAAGTTCCATGTATACTGAAAGCCTTGAGCCTGTCTGGTCACAGATCTTGATAGCTTCCTTACTGTTGTGAGAAAGGGCACTGAACAATACCAGAGCAGATGTATTTGCTATGGCTGTTCAAACCACTTACAGATTTTAACACATCATTCAGCAATGCCTTCCAGATATTCCAGGATTTCACAGCTCAAAACAGAGTAAAAATGCAAGAACTGGTTACATGATAAATCCTCGTGTTTATCCAAGGTTATGTTGAAGATGGCTTATTCCAGACTGATTTATACCAAGTGATGCTGACTTGTATTATAAACTTGCATACACAAATGAGAAAGAATGTCATCAAAATCCTTGCAGAATGATATTTTGTTTTTAAAGCAGTGATCAAAAGACCAGGCACTTATAAGAACACAATATTTTAAATCCTAATAATTTCTTCTGCTATCCAATTTTGTAAGTACTACTAATAAACAGTAAGTACTCCAAGTCAATAGAGAAATTCATTCAGAGGTGTTAGAGCTTTTAAAATGTAGGGTTAAAGGTTTTCCAGAAAAACTATAAGGCAAATTTCATTCAAGCAGTTTTCAAGTGAAATATGTGTGTAAATATATATATATATATATATATATATGCTATTCAGTTAATGTGGTGAAATGTGTGTATATATACATATACACACACACACACTATTCAGTCAACATGGTTAAAGCAGTGGCAAAAGAGGTTTGACCAGTTCTCAAATTAATGTATTCTACTTTCAGTCACTGTGTCTAACAGTGTGCCACTGCTCTGGCAGCACTGGAAGCTCACTGACTCCCAGATACACCATTCTCTGGCTTCAACTTGGAGTATTTCTAGATTGTTACTGTCATTTCATTCTCTGCTTAAATTCCTCCTGCGTAAAGCATTTGCTTTTATTCTGAGCGATAGATATAACTTGAAAGCATGTATTTTTAATGAAATTGGGAAAAGCAGCTGAACCAAATTCCCTGTGCTTCTGTGTGAGGTCTAAAGCTTATTACAGAAGAAAAAAAATCAGCTACATAAAATGACATTAAAAGGGCTATAATACCAGTGCCGAGCGTGATTATTTCTGTGTAACATGATGAGCAAGGCAACCTAAAGACCAAAGGAATGAAAACCAAAGGAAAAATCCATTTACTAGCTTTATAAAGATGTTAAACATCAGCAGTATTGGGGTCTACATAGCAAAAGAGGAAAACCTTCTGGGCCTTCTAGTCCTGCTTTGTTTCAAGTTCTCCTAGAACACTTAGGGTAGGATTTGGTTACCAACACACATCAAGCAGCCTGGTGCAGCCTCAGTCCCAGGCAGGGAGCTGTGGAGAAGGCTGAGGACCCCTCTCTCTTCATTAACCCAGCACAAGGCTGGTTTAGAGACCTGTTTAACCAACTCCTTTGAGACCACCAGGCTTGAGATGACAGTACAGACCTTGTGAAAACTGTGTTTGAATGACTGAACTTCCAGTAGGCAGCTACTCTTAAAAATCAGGATAAAGCTATGCAAAAGTGGGCAAAAGTGCATCTTCTGAAAACAGAAGAAAGCAAGGGTACAAAATAAGTAGAAATTCACTTAAGGCTGAAGTCAAGGTGTGTATATGCATTCAGTCTTGAGAATGCAGTTTTAGGCAACATTCATTTTTACTCCAAGTGTGTGAGTAGAAGCCTACCTGCTCATTAGCTTACTTAACCAGGGAATAACAACAACTTCCATTACAGGCTTAAAACTGCCAGATGGTACCAGGTGCAGCCTGAGATGGCAATCACTAACAGTACACTAAGTTCTGATTGTCTAAGACCAAGATTTCAGACACGAGTACCCAATCTTTGACTCATATATGTGCACTGAGATTAAGGATGTAACCAGACTGTCCAAAGCGAGTACTCACACATCCACATGTGGATCCCATAAACTTATTTTAATGAGTGTTTTAGAGGAAACTGCATGGATGCGCTTTGAATACATGATGTTGAACCTAACAAAATACATTTCCAGTTCCTCAGACAGGAGGACCAGAGCAGAAACATGAATTCATATGCTCTCTCATTTTATTCCTTGACAGACTGTAGATAAAATAAACCATACAAAAACGGACATTACAGTGACTGACCTCCCTGGGAGTTGGATTTCACCCTTTTCATATGTCAAGCACCTAAGCAAAGCATGGTACTGCTGCACACATGAAAACAAAAGCAGCTGTTTCCTTGTTTGAGTTCAGCATCTCACTTCTTACCCCATTTTCCCAATCAATCTTTACAAAAGATTCTCTTAAAGTGATCCAAAGTACTATTTGCTCTTAAGTATATTCAAAAAACATGCATGTCATGAACAGCCATCAGAGGAACACTATAGATCTCAGAGAGTAAACCTATGTATCGGATGGGTTTTGCTCATCCAGCTGAGTAATGCTCAGCCCTCACTGTAAATCTGTAGTTTCAATCACACTAGAACACAGGAGGCCTGCACCTAGGAGAACACATTTTTGTTTCAGCCAGTTGTGCAAAGACCCTCTCACTGCACTGAGGAAGGATTAGGGTAGGCCCTGTAGCACCAAGATGGACACATGGGAGAGAGCTGCCTCATTATACGAGAGTCTGAAATCTAAAAGGGATGGTTTTCATTGTGTATGTGTTCACACAACTGATTAAACTTGGAATTTGAGTTAAACTCTTATTTAAGCCTCAGCTTATAAGCACAGTTCCTGTAGCTACAAAATACCTCCCTGCCAAGAGCTTAATAACTGTTCTCTTACATTTCATTAAACTTTTCTCGTGTGGTGTCATTTGTGCTTGTATACATACATGTATAATTACCTAATTAACTTCTGGAGCTCTGAGTCACCAATTTAACTTTTTCAGAGGAATAAAGGAACAGTGACCCATGTGCGTTTTCCAGCCAATCAAAAAAAGACAAATCACTCCTCAGGCAAATCAGGAGTCTCAACTTAAGCTTACCTGGACTTGGATCTTTGCCAGCATTTTTAAATCACTTTCCTAAATGTTCTAAAAAGCCCCCAGAAACATCTCTGAGCTTTACAGTCGGTGCACAGCAGGAAAGTGTGGTATTAATTCATAACAAAATTAACCCGAATGCTTTGGTATGGGAAAGATTGGCAAGTGTATCTCTTTGGGAATAGTATTCAAATTCAAAGCTCATGGGTGGAGACGGGGAGTGCAAAGGTGCATAAATAGGCAGGAGGGAGCGTGGTGCTCTCACTGTGACCAGGAACACCTTCACACCCTGGCAAGCACCTGGCTGAACGCACACGGTAAGGCAGCGCTCACTCTTCTGAACTGCCTGCATAACACTGGGCTAACTGGGGCTGCAGCAAGGGGAGGGAGCGGCAGCAGTGTGGGCACAGCACAGCTCCTAGCCATAAGGACACACAGAGATACGATTTCTTTGCAAGTTACAAGACGCAGGAGAGAAGGGGCTTTATCAGGCAAAAAGCTATGCAGAAGTGCACACAGCCTCCCAAAGGGGAAGATTTCAAAGAGGAGGTTTAATGTTTCTGCCTTGGCTTTCTGCACCAGCAACAGCATAAACTTTGCCTGGTCTTTGACTTCCTTGTCATCCAATACCTTTATTTATTTATTTTTTCTCCTTTCAGTAAGCATTACTTCCTTGACATGGCTACAGCTAAAACAACTCAAGGCAGCCTTGAAAATCCATTATATTTAATGTAAATTTACTCAGTTTTCTTCCTAGCCAAGGAGACTTTTCTTGGGACAGGTAGTCTCCTGCAAAATCCTATTTCATGCTCTTGAAATCCACTCTGTGGATGCTTAGAGGTCTATTGGACACCCAGCAGTTAAGAACATCGTATCACTGATGCAGATTCAGCTAATGCCTCCTCCTGCAGTTCTTAACCAGAGAAAAGACTCTATTTTCCCAGACTCCTCATTTTCATTGTCTGAATTTTAAAAGCTGTCTGTTTAAATTTTTGCATGAATGTTTCGAATTTTCTGTATTGGTTTTGGAATTCCTTACATCTTTCTACAGTACCCAATATACTGGTATTTCAGTTTTAAGAGTAAGTTTAATGAGAAAACAGGGTCATGCTAAAGCATTTTCCCCCTTCAAAGCATCCCAGCTGAAATGCTGAGGAGCTTCCATCAGTCATGCCTCGTCTCCACCCCCATGCCTCAGACAGGTGCAGGACAAGCAATTTGCTTTGTGCTGCTTATAATGACAAAATGCACTTCAGTTCTCACTGTTCCCCACTCATTCTATTATAGATGCTACTGCTTTTCAGGATTAGATGATGCTAATTAGAGGAGACAGGACAGTTTACAGTTTCAACAGCAGCATTAGACTGTGTCTATGCTAATGGATCACTATTAAACCCAGCTTAGACTTCTACATCTCATCTGAGTTGCTCTTGCTGCAAAAGGGATGAAGAGCTGACATGAGTTAATTTGTCAATGCCCATGCTGTTAAACTGCCCAGTAACTTTATCAGTGGGAGATCCAGAATGAGATAGGAGTTCATGAGGACTTAGAAGTACTTTTGAAATCGACAAAATTGTTGTTTCACTGAGCAAACTCAATGTATGAAAAAGGAAGAGAGAGAAACTTAACACAGGTGCGCACCTTAAGAGGACCACAGGTCAATGGCAGGAACACAGCAGAAAGCAGCCAAATCCTTCATGACTCTCTGCAGAGCAAACCTCTCCCTTCTCTTACACTCCCTGGAGCCCCCACCTGGAGCAGTTAGCTGACTCACTCAGCTGCATACCTGACCACGGCGGTGCCTCCGGCTGCACCTCAGAACCAGCAGCACAGAGGCACGGGGAGATGAAGACTCTCTTCCTCATCCCAGGGGCAGCCATGGAGAAGAGCTACGTGTCCGTGTTCCTGCTGCTCGTGGCCATCTCCTGCGTTCTGGCAAAAGATATAGGCAAGAAGGAGACGAAGGAGACTAGCACTAAACCAAAACTGCCTCAAACACTCTCCAGAGGTAAAAACACATAGATAGTACAGATCTCACGTGTATGTATGTGAGTTTTTCCTACCCTCTCCTTTCCCCTGGGCAGGCTGGGGGGACCAGCTCATCTGGACGCAGACGTACGAGGAAGCCCTCTTCCGCTCCAAGAACAGGTAGGGCGCCCCCGCGCTACCGCGCCCCCTACCGGCCGCCCCGCGCACCGCTCCGCTAACCGGGCTCCTTCCTCTCCCCCAGCAATAAGCCCCTGATGATTATCCACCACCTGGATGACTGCCCACACAGCCAAGGTAAGAATTCGGCACGGAAAAAAAAAAAAAAAAGTACCACCACGCTCACTCTTCACCACAGAATAAAGAATAAAACGGAGTTAATCATCTGTCAGTGCAATGGACATAATTTTTATTTGCTCTAACTGTAAACTGCATGTTCTCATGTTCATTCTATCAGTTTGTTTGAATTTTCTTTTCTAGGGCAATATTACAGGCCTTTAAAAAAAAAAAAATTATTCTTCACTGCTTTCATTCTAGCACTCAAGAAGGTCTTTGCTGAACATAAGGAAATACAGAAATTGGCTGAAAAATTCATTCTCCTGAACCTTGTGGTAAGTGTCCCTTTCACACTTCAGGTGAAAGCAATAAAGCTTTATTTTTGATTATGGCTCTTCTAGCTCTAAGTAGGCACTTTTACAGCTGGGATTGGCTAGGAAAAATGCTCAGTGCTGGAGCATAATAGATTTAGTCACAAAGCTCTTTCAACTCCAGCTCCCATAACTACTAAATAGGAAGGAATTTAAATTTTAATGTAATACTGTCATTAATTGTTATCATCAATTCTCAGCTCTAGCAGTTTAAAGATTGTATCCCAGGCAGTGGATTTCTGAAATTGTTAATGTATTGCTTAGCCTGCATTATGCCAAGCATAAAGAATAAGAAAACATCCATGTTACATGCTGTCTTGCAATCTTGACCTAGAACCTCATCTGCTTTCTTCCAGTACGAAACCACAGACAAGAACCTTGCACCTGATGGCCAGTACGTCCCTCGGATTTTGTTCATTGGTGAGTACTTCTCAGATGACAGCCCCCCTATATTCAGCTACACCTATCACTAACATATCCCTATAAACCTAGGTCACAAGGATCATTTTCAGTAGACCACAGCAACTGCTATTTTCTTCCTTCTTTGATTCTTTCTTAATAAGATCTGTAGGCTGAAAGCAATCTCAGCGTATGGAGTTAACTCATGCACTATGCAGTGACATGGGTCTAAGGCTGATCAAACACAGATCAGAACCAAACCTACTTCCTAACAAAACTGCAAACAAAATGCTTAACATAGAAGTTCAGTTACTTCATAGAATGAAGGTGAGTTGGTTGTTAGTGGAAGCAGATTTGTCTTGCAGGAAAACTTAGGAAGCAAGCAGAAGATCAGGAAGATTTCCTTTCAAGATTCCTCTTCTGCTCTGCAACTTTTCTCTTCCTCTTTTCCAGATCCTTCCCTGACTGTGAGAGCGGATATTACTGGAAGATACTCAAACCGTCTCTATGCATATGAGCCCTCTGACATTTCTCTGTGTAAGTTAATTGTTCTCAAAGCAGTCACATCTTTTCCTGGATAGCACCAGGCATTACCCACGTGCACCTAGTGCTTGCTGAAAGACCATTATCTGCCAGTAGGGTAGGTTTGGGAGGGGTGTAACTGCACGACTTACTGCATCAGCTTGTCCTGTTATATGCTTGGCTTTACAAGTCCTTTGAGGACAAGTGCAGGGGGCTCAAGCTCAGAAAAATATAGATCTGTCTTTATATTCATTTTATGAGGTGTTTAAAAAACCATTATAAAGCCCTACATCTCCAGGTTACCAGAGTTCATAAGATGCACAGTGCATCAAATTCATTATAGCTGTTGGCTTTTGAACACAGCTTTAATAATAATGACATTTCTTTACAGTAACTGGTCACTGGCAGAGGAAGTTGCAACAAAAATAACATGCATGAATATTTCATTTCTAGTGTATTCAAATATGCAGAAAGCACTGAAGCTGCTGAAGACTGAGCTGTAATGAGGAGGAAGATGCCCTGAAAGACCACTAAGTCTGGTTTTTACCTCTTCTCCACTCGTTCACACTGCTGAAGAGACTATTTAGTGATATTTAGTAATGTATAGTGCTGGTTTATGAACATAAACACTAGTTTTATGTTAGCACTTCTGTACAGGGCAGCATTTTTAAAAGCTGGAGGCTTTTAATTTAAGACATACAGGAGAACACTGTATGACCCAATTGTACAAATGATTTTTTTTAATAAATTCATTTCAAATGTTTACATACAAAATGTTGCTGTGTTCTTTATTCCTCCCTATTATCTATCACTATTGAAGTAAAATCAGCATTACTTACTTCCACAGCTTGCTATGTTCTATCCAAGCAGCTTTTTGTCTGCAGTTTTAGCAGCTACTAAAGCTCCATTCCTCAGCACGCTTTCTCTTCATTCATTTTCTTGTAACAGGACCCTATGTCCAGCTCTCATTACCAGTCCTTTCTTTACAGTTAGATAAGAAGTGCAGATCTTTTACAAAACCTTTCTATGCTTACAGTTAATTGTGTGGTAACATGCCTAATGCCTGAGCCTTTAAGAAGGGGAACACATTTTCAAAACATTTTCAATCATCTGAGATAAGAGGATGTGATTGTCTATGTGTGATACTGTTTTTAAAACTGGCTGCCTCTGAAGTGATTGGAGGTTCGCCATTTCTACATAAGGCTATTTTTAGAAAGAAGTTAAAAACAGCTTCTCTTAGAAGATCTTGGATCATACTGGAATTCAGTAGAGCCTTGAGACTAATAACAAGAGAAATTATATTTGGTGCACACAGTTCCCAGATCACTTTATGGCTTGGGATTGCTTATTTACAAGCCCAAAATGGACGACAGATTTAAACAAATAAACCCTGCAGTTAACACCATGCACGTTGGTACCACCTTAAGGCTCAGGCCTCCTCTGAATACAAATTATTTACAGAGGCTCCAATCCAAGTTACTTAAAATAAAACTCAATCTCTTAGGAAAATCTGGGAAATTATTTCTGAAGCGTATGCGCTCAGTAACTTGAAGTGCACAGAATGAACAGGGTTTCCCTGGATGTGTTTAAGAGCCTTTTGGATGTGGTGCTCAGAGATATGATTTAGCAGAGGGTTGTTAGGGTACTATGGTTAGGCTGCAGTTGGACTTGATGATCCTTGAGGTTCCTTCCAACCTGAGTAATTCTATGATTCTACACGTGGGATTTCTGCGGGTCCTCTAGGCCTTTCCACTAGGCCTAACTATTTAAAGACTTGAAGTGTCTAAGCATTATGATGTAATGTGATGGAAAGTACAGCAATTGTAGCAAGTTGGCACAATCCCAGGCTACAGCAAATGAGAACAAGCCCCAGTGCAGCAGCCACAGAAACAAAGGGAGAAAAAGTGCTTACCCTTAGTAGGCCTCCAGCAGGCATGGATCTCCAGATGAGACACCCTCACCTCCACTGCCAACCCTTACATGAGGTCTGAGAAGGGGCAGATCCTGGAGAAGCATTGCATGCCCCTGAGCTCCTCTGGGTTGGCCCTGCCTTCACACCAGGTGCTCAATCACTGGTTCAAGCTGTGACCAGCATTTCTGCTACACTAAGTAACAATTTAGAATTATATGGCTTTGTCTTTAGGCAGTTATTAATCTGTAGATATCTTAAAGAAAGAGAAGACAATTTCTGCTTCTTCTAGAATAACGGGCTTTATAAAAGCATTTCAACATAATTAAGGTCAAAAAGCATTTAATATAAGCACTGAATATAATATAAGCTCCCAAACTGCCTTGATATTCTGATATTCTGCTACTGTTAATAAGCTTCTATAAGATTTGGTCACAATTAAGTCAAACTCTAAAGCAGTCAGAAAAATTAATGCACCTCTGCAGAAAATAGCAAGAATGAAAATGTTGTATGTCCAAAACTGTTTTCTCAAGAGGAAAGACAGGAAAAGAAAAAAAAAAGACAACCCCACAAAAAAATAATAAATAAATTAAAAGTTCCATCTAAATACATTAGTAGAGTACAGCATCTCTTGTATACTGATATGCAAGTTAGGCCTCTAAAGCAAATTTCTTTCCAAGTTCCAAAGTCAGAATAAATCTGTTTTATTGTGTCCCTCCCCCCACCTTAAGAAAATGAATCTATCACTGATGTGAATTTCAAGGTTTGTAGTTGTTTGGGTTTGCTTTTGTTGTTGGTTTTGGTTTTTTTTTGTTTGTTTGTTTTTTAAATCACAATCTTCAAAAGACAAAGTGTTACATATACAATAGAAAAACTTTAATCAAACTCTACACTCTACCACCTGTCTTTTGAACACTAAAGCAAACTCACACTGAATGTTCTGAGATGTGACAGCTCTAACATGATCATATTTTCACTATTTTCTTAGAAATGCAAAATTACATTCCAGTATCACCTACTATATTAATGAAACCAGACCTGCCCCAAAACGAAGCTGTAAATAAATCAATAAAAAGAAAGAAGAATCAAAATTGAAGCAGCCACAGAATATTATTTCAACCTTCTTACAACTTCTTAATACTTCTCTAATTTATTATATTAACACACAAAATACAAGGAAAATTAACTGCTGCTAAGGACAGCTTTGGTATGATCTGTTCAGGTTCAACACTTCCCTTTGAAACCTCATGACAATTCCTTCTTGAGCAGCCCTAGGCACACAGCAGTCTCAAAGTGTTCTGATAAGCATATATTTCATCTTCTTTCTGGCTCCTTTCCCAAAGCAAGAAGGTACCTTCCCAGCAAAGGGAGAGCCCTTTGAGAGCTACCACTATTAACATTCACTGCTGCCCTCTCTTTCCTCCACACTCAGATGCTGTATTATTTGGCAGTTTAAATTAATAAGCCTCACTTTCTCCTCCTACAGAGCTGTCTTTTTCAGGGCTACAGCAGCTACCTACCGTGCCAGAGGCAGCATCTTAATGAAGAAAAGGTACTGTGCAGGCCTGTGATTCACTGTGATTAGAAATAACTGGAACATTGTGCACCTCTGGTGTTGACACCTCTGTTGACATCTTCCAGCTCATCCCTCACTTCTGTTAGAGGCTGGACCAGGGACTACACTTTCTTTCTGCTCAGACAGCACTCAGCACATGAATGATGCACATTTTAACTTTAATTCTTTTCTCTTTTTAAAACAAATTAGTGGAAAATACAATTAGTTACCCCCCACCTCTGGTGTTCAATCTCTCTCATCAAATCAAGACTTTTAGGTGGACAACAGAGGAATAAATACTGCTGAATTACTGCAAGAATAATTTTACACCATCTGTAAAAATATTTGTACAACTTTCCAAACACCAAGTCAAGTTTCTTACACAAAGAAGATGACAGACCACTACCAGCTCTGATGCTGTGCAAATACCAAACTCCATTTTGATGTCAAAGAAAAAAACAGGTTCAAGTTGATTAGCTGCAGATTACATTCATTCACTGTTCTCATCGTGAAAATATCCAGTAAAAAATAAAGTACTTTTATTTTCAAAAAAGAAATCTAAATCTATCATATAGCCACAGCAAATGGGGAAGGGAAAGGGTGAAGATTACAGTAGTCACTTATGTGCAGTACAGAAAATAACAAAACAACATCTTCAGCTTTTTTATAACCTTAACAAGAGAGTGAGACCATTATTTAGACACAGAATGCAACCAGAACTCATCCTAAATCCTAATCAAATCATACAATCAAACAAGCATTAAACACCCACCATTTATTTTTGTCATTTTAATGAGAAATTAGGTGAATTTTTGTAATTAATCAATACAGCAGAAAACACTTGGGGTTGTTTTTTTTTTGTTTTTTTTTTTGTTTGTTTTTTTGGACACCAGAGAAGCTAGTAGTGCTTCAAAACTCACTGAATAGAGTTCACCACACCAACTACCAAAGTCTTTAACAAAAAATTATCAGCTCAGAACAGCATTCTGATTCTGCCCAGCTACTGAATACGCCAATCTACTTCAAGATAGTGATTCTCATAAGAAAAACAGTGAATATTTAAAGATGAAAACTGCAAACTCATGGAAGGTAAATTTTCCTTCTGGTACACAGAGTATTCCTACTATAGAGAAACACTAAACTATGGAAATCTAGTATTCTGAAGTAGAGGATGCAGAAAGAAGATTCAGTCTTTTATAAACTTATCAAAGAAAAGCACTAGGGTTTGCACGGGGATCCTTTTGGTTCCTGTATCTATAGGTCAGCCAGACTCCCAGAATCTGAAAGGAAAACACAAAGATATTATTAAGCAGAGGGTCTCTCCCTTGTCCTTCAACAGTTTTACAAAACTTATTTTAAATGTAAAATTCTGATAATGAATTTACAGCACGAGTGTAGGATATTTTACTATTGCTAGAATTGCATGACCCCACACAACTTCCTTAATTAGAAAAAGAATGCACCTTTCTCGGGAAGATCTATCTAACAACACAGAAAGGACAAAACTGTATCCAAAAATGCTAGAAAAGTATTTACAGGAGCATCAATTACTATTCTTTCCCCTCTTTAGATGAGAAATATTTGTAAACCTCTTTTTAGGATAATGATAAAGTAATATCCTTCAAAAACTTTTTACATTTTAAAGCTACAGCTTAAGAATAAGGCTATTTTTCCAGTGCATTTTCAAATTCTGTCCTTTTCACTCTTCAGCTCCACACCTCAGGTAGAGAGCCCACAAATTTTTAGTAAATAAATGTGGGCAGAAGTAAGAGATGAGTTCTGCTTTACGTGCTGTATCTCTCGCTGATGTAATAGTTATGGTCTGAAAACTGCACTACACAGCAGAAGCAGAATTTTAACATGTTATGAAAGATCTGCTCTGAGGATTTTTATTCACTGATTGATAAAGCAAATATATAGATTTATACATTTTAAAACTCATACATAAAATATTCAGTCATCATCAAACTGCCTCCATGCAATGCATGGGGCACCAAAGAAAATCCCTTCCTTCACCAACCCCCCAAAAAAAAACCACAAAAGCAACCTAAAACAAAGAGCTTGGAAGGACAGGATGTGGAGCCCAAAGACCAAGCAAACAAACCAAAAGCGACAGCATGTCCATTACTTTTGGGTACAATAACAATAAACCTAATGAGTTAGCTTTCTGCAGAATCTACAGCACCACATTTCAATGAGGTATCTACTCAATGGTTTGTAGTGTAAATAACAGAAAGCTGTAAATACTCTCAACCCTGTTTTTGTCAGACTTCAACAAGCTGACAGCCTGAAAAATTTTGACCTTATTAGATTTGACTCCTGAGACATGAGACAATACTGGGAGTTCCTGTAATAAAACCCCTAAACTTTAAGATTTTTTGTTTGTTTGTTTTAAATATGGTGAGAGGAAAACACACTATTTTCTAATCTATTCATTTACCTCTGTGAAACTGAAGAAAAGTCCTATGCCTCCAACAAATCTGAGCACCATTCCCGAATATTCTTCTATTATTGGTGCACATGGTTGACAATGGTGACTTCTAAAACAATCCTGTAATAGATATAAGCAGAAAATTGCATCCCGTTTTCTGATGGTGCTTCACCGATTGACACTATTTTGTTAGCTCTGCAGCAGACTGCAAACCATGCGCAAAACTTTGGGAATTTTAATACTCCAGAAAAGCAATATGGAGCCCAAAGACCAAGCAAACAAACCAAAAGCGACAGCATGTCCATTACTTTT